TACAGGCCTCTCTCATCTTTTTAAGCGGGAGAACTTGCACAATTGGTGGCTGACTAAATACTTTTTTCCCCCACTGTATGTATGTATGTGTGTATATATATATATATATATATATATATATATATATATATATATATATATATATATATATATATATATATATATATATATATATATATATGTGTATATATGTGTATATATATATATTATATATATGTATATATATGTATATATATGTATATATATATATATATATATGTATATATATTATATATATATATGTATATATATATATATATATATATATATATATATATATATATATATATATATATGTATATGTGTGTGTGTGTGTGTGTGTGTATAAATAAATAAATAAATGAATAATGTGTAGCCTAGGCCTACTGGTTATATGAATTTGGGCTGTATCGTCCCACAGTCTGTTTGAAATAGGCTTTTTCTTTCTCGCACAGAGCGACAAGCTGACCAATAGAATAGGTAAACTTTTCTACTATGGGGGATAGTTGATTGACATGGGCTAGTGATTTTGCTGTTCGTTACTCATGTTGTTGGCTGAGGAAAAGTAATGCAGTTATTCTAAGGTTTTCAAAGTGTGCATCGAATTCGGTAAGAAGGACGCACGTCGTTACATCCTCAAGTTACATGTTCTGTTAAGATTAATTACCATAATCTAAATGTGATTTCTGTCATTCTGAGCACCGTGGGTGGACGCCCTAATCCGGTTACGCACCCAATGGGTCAGGTAAATTTCTCAAATGTCCGTTAAATTAAAATACTACCCGGCACCACATTTCCCCGCGCACACACAATCTTTTCTCTCACTTTCCTTAATTTTGTTATCTCTCCCTTTGTCTCCTCTCCCTCTCTCATTCTCTCTGCCTCTCTGTCATCCTGCATCTATCATTCCCTTCTCCCACTATACATAGTGCCAGCTCTGAGTTAGTCCACTCATTAGGGGTTATTTATTTATTTATTTTATTTTACCTTTATTTAACTAGGCAAGTCAGTTAAGAAGAAATTGGCGTGGTGGTCCCAGCTGCCAGTCTCCCCAGCACATGTCTGGAATCCATGCCCACGTAAACAGCATCTGTGCTGGGCTGCAGCTAGGAGTGGGTGAGCTGGAGGTAGAGTGATGGTAGTTGCTGAGGGTGGGTAGTTAAGGGGGTGTCTGAGGCTGATCAGAGTGCCTTCAAGCTGGGCTAGAGGTGGGTCAATGTGGGGGTGGTGGGAGAAGTATGGAGGTTGGAGGTTAAAGGGGCTTGTAGGGGGTCTTTGTGCCCTATCAGAGTGAATCATTGCTGGGCTTCAGAGGCAGAGCGAGTTCCAGTGTGTGGTCCGGAGGTCTGTCAGCCTTGTCACACTTCTGTAGAATCACCCATGTCCCCAACACACACACACACACACACTAGTCCCCCACTCGTGGAACTGGCAGGAGTATGCGGTAGTGCTGATGGCAGAAGTGTGTGTTCAAAACGCATGAACAGCAGGCACAGCCAACACAAGTATGGTGGCAACACCATTGATTAATCTCCAATCAATAAACCAATCAATGAGCAGTAGCTGCTTCTGAAGTACAGAATGTATCTGTCTATATTGTAAAGGCCTGAGAGACACCCAGAGATCTCAGCTGTCATTGAAAAAAATGGCAACAGACAGACACACACACTATTTTAGTCTCTTTGTTTGAAGCCTTTAGTTTAGAGGGCATGAAGGGTGAAACCAAGAGTCCATTTTGGGTTCTTAGAAAACAATGAATGCCCTCTCCAATCATGTTGACTGGATTGGGGAGAGGGTGTTTTTGTCTAGATGGGATATAGTTTATGTCAGAATTGACTTTTCGTAGCAGGTTAGGATAATTAATGTAGCAGGTTAGGAGAATAGGGTTAAGGTTAGGAAAAGGGTTAGGGTTAGCTAAAATGCAAAACAATTCTACTTCGACGTCAATTTGACATTGTATCCCGACTAGCAATGACCGGGAGAGGTAATCCCCCTCCTTTTTTATACTAGTCTTTTAGCTGGTGGCGAGGCTATAATCAAGCTGCAATTCAATGGAGCATTTGAACACACAAACACGCGCACACACTCAACAATACCGAATCAACTCATCTCGAACTGTATTGTTCATTTCTCTTTTTAAAATGTGTTTATCGATCGATTCATGTCTGTCTCTTCTTTGAGTGGCAGCACTCTCTTGTTCACTACAGAAAAGGGGGGGGTGGAGGGAGGGAGAGAAAAGCGAGCAGGGAGAGAGCTGAAGGAGCGGAGGGAGAGCAATACCATTTTTATTTTAGCAGACCAAAGGATTTGTTATTTTTCCAGAGCAGTAGAGGCTCCGCTTGGCTTTGCTGCTGCTGTGCGCCACTGATCCTCAGCCAGATAGCCCTCTCCTCTCTCTATCTCTCTTTCCTCTCTCCTCTGTTCATCCCTTTCTCCGCTGTTCCTCCGCACATCCCTGCATACTCCACGGCCTTCCTTGGAGTAAAATCATTACCGTGTGTGTGTGCTGCAGACAGAAGCTCCCCTGCTCTCGGTCTCTCTTTCTCCCTAACGCACCTCCCTCCATCCCTTTCTCCCTACCTCCCTCTATTCCTTTCTCTCTCCCCCATGAGTCTTTGGCCAAGAGATGGGGAAAGAAAGGAGAACAGAGGGAGAGAGAAAGAGAAAACAAACTAACTTGTCAAAGAGAAAGAGAGAATCAATGTGAGAGACAGAGGAAGATATGGTAGGAAGTGAACAGCAGGCTGTGGAATAGAAGCTGTGTAAGCCCGCCCTCCTCTCAGGGTATTCTGCACAGTGATTGGATGACAAGCTCTTTTGAACACATTCTCCACATGGAAGTCTAGGGTTGTGTACTATACAATCGGTTAACTATGCTTGCCAGATGAGTAACATTTCCTGAGACCTGAAGACTCATACGCCTAGGCTTTAGCTCAGTTGGCTAACGTGTTCCTGTTGCTGACTGGCGTTCAATACCAGGTTGGACCTTTTGGCCCAGTAGTTGTCTCTCTGTACTGTTAGTCTTGTTGAGTCAGTGTATTTACTAACTTCCCCAAACCCACTCTGAAGTACTTGTACAAACAATTTGATTTCTCCTAAGGCCTCTGATCGCAACTCATGAACACTGCATTCATAGAAACAACACATCTTTGAGACATGTACACACACACACACACACCAAAGGAGCTGGGATGGGGGCTTCTCTCTCTTGCTCTATCGCTCCCTCTACCTACCTACTCAACATTTAACTCCAGGCAACAGACAGAAAGTTGAAGAGACTAAAATGGACAGGTTTGGACAACCTGAATAAAACACAAACATGAAGTTGTTGCCCAGATGCCAGTTAGTATAAGCATGAACAAACACTAGACATTGACTTAAGCTAGCTGAAGCAGAACCAGACAGAAGCTAAAGGCACACAGCAAAAGTTGTGTACAAGACAAGTCCTGGGCCAGGTTTCCAAAAAGCATCTTAAGGATAAGTTCATTGTTAGAACCTTCGTAGGAACATCGTTAAATCTCCAAGCTGTTTCCCAAAACCATCGTTATTAACGTTGCACTTGAACATGTTGGTAATCTAACGCTTGCCTCAGACCACTCGTGGGTCGTTAGATGCCCCCCTCGTCACTATATAAACATCTCCATTACACGTAGAGTTGCATGGTTTATCCGTCTCTCTGTAACCGCCAGTAACTTCAGGACAAAGTGGACTACAAATACAAAGTTGCCAATGTCTTTGCAATTGATACAAACAAGCGACATGAAAACCGAGATGACTGCATTAAAATATAAACAGTAGTCTATAGGCCTATTTCAATCATATTGAAAGACATTTCATGTTCAATCAATTGATTTCTATGTTGCTACTGTCTATCATTTGACTCAATATATTTCATGGTGTAGCCTAACGTGCGCAATGATGTGCGAAATCGGTTATTTAGTGAATTTTTATTGGGTAAGCATTAGAATAAGCCACCTCAATATTTGCAGCCGTAAATGGTAATATCTCTCTAGGATCTGATCCGTAGTCAGTATTGTGAAATAATTATGTTAAATTAAGATTTGATTGGAGAAAGCTGATCTATAGATCCTATCAGTATCGACACATTCTCCAACAACGCACTTAGCGACCGTTCTCTCTGTGTGGTGTTTTGGGAAACGCATGTTACATCTTTGGCCGTTGTAGAAAATATGCATTGTTAGAATTTAGGCTTACAAGTGTTTTATCTCTATCGGGAAACCGTGCCCTGTTCTGTTAACTTGTCTAACACACACACACACACACACACACACACACACACACACACACACACACACACACACACACACACACACACACACACACACACACACACAAGAGGTCTAGTCGTAGCAGCTAGACAGACTGACAAGCTAACATTGACGGCCAATATCAAAAAACCCATCGATCCTCTTCATGGAACACAGGTTTGTGTTTATCCTTCATCTGAAATTCAGCATTTCTCATTGCCTCAGAATATTGATATTTGCTCCCTCTCGGCATTGTGGAGCTCTTTTGGGAACCGCTAATTTAATCTTTGAGCTTTGAAAAGTAAAGTTATGGAAAGTGAATGGCTCAACAGTAACAAAGCAACATGTGTTGAATAAAGCAGGAGAATATATTACTGTGATATTGTTTTACAGATAAAGAGAAGATCCCACACATTGCTATTTACAGTACATGCTCCCAAATGTAGTTTGTGACAACGTGGGCGAACCTTTGTTTAATGGGTTGGAGGCACTGTCCTACCGCCTTATTAATTCAACACCTGTCTACTGCTACTGACCTTGACACTTCAAAACAATTGTCTTCAATATTACATTGGCTTTTCCATCAACACCAAGTCTGGACAAATCCAATACAAATATTCTGATCCCATACACCAGGCACAAATCCATTGGATATAGTGGAAATGAGCTGTTTCTATGGTTTTGTTCATACAGTGGAGTTGTTGTCTCTCCCAGGTGAAGTTGATGTTCCAGAGGACGTACGGGGAGGTGGTCAGTCTGTCTCCACCTGGAGAGGAGGACAGACGGAGGTTCTTCACTGACCTGCTACTGGTACAGGCTGCTAGAGCGCCGCTACACAGGAGACACACAGGTACTATGCATTCATACACGCACGCACAGAAACATACAGGTTATTACACACACACACACACACACACACACACACACACACACACACACACACACACACACACACACACACACACACACACCAGGGTTGGGTTCATTCCATTTAAATTCCAGTCATTTCCGAAAGTAAAACAAATTCCAATTGACATTTTTCTCATTGAAAAGAATTGGAATGGGAATTTCAGTGTACCTTATGAATCTTCATCTTGGTTTCATCTTGTCTTTCCGTTTCCTCTCTCCTGACACACATATTGCTCAAACCATCGTACAGCTCAATTTCTCTTTGAGCTGTTGAATCATTGTTACATTTTTCCTTCACTTGGAAAATATGCATTCCATTGCCTAGTAAGAAGAATGTAACAGGAGGGTTGACTAGTAGCAACGGCACAGCACCTGTAGTACTCAATCTCTCTCTCCCCATCTCCCCCTACGATACTCTCCCCCTACGATACTCTCCCCCCAACCTCCCTCATCCCACCATACTCTCCCCTCTATTGCCCCCTACCATTAACTTCCCTATTCTCTCCTCCAGCCTCCCTTTCCCCTCTGTTCCTTCTCCGTGTGAGAGAGCTGTCCACGTGGCTTCCATGGCACAAGGCTTTCAAATGGAAATACAGCAAGAAATGCCGATCGCAGTATCCTCATTGATGCAAAGCAGGGGTCCAACACATACAGTACCAGTCAAAAGTTTGGACACACCTACTCATTCAAGGGTTTTTCTTTGTTTTTACTATTTTCTACATTGTAGAATAATAGTGAAGACATCAAAACAATGAAATAACACATGGAATCATGTAGGAACCAGAAAAGTGTTAAACAAATCAAAATATATTTTATATTTGAGATTCTTCAAAGTAGCCACCCTTTGCCTTGATGACAGCTTTGCACACTCTTGGCATTCTCTCAACCAGCTTCACCTGAAATGCTTTTCCAACAGTCTTGAAGGAGTTCCCACATATGCTGAGCACTTGTTGGCTGCTTTTCCTTAACTCTGCGGTCCAACTCATCCCAAACCATCTGAATTGGGTTGAGGTCAGGGGATTGTGGAGGCCAGGTCATCTGATGCAGCACTTCATCACTCTCCTTCTTGGTCAAATAGCCCTTACACAGCCTGGAGGTGTGTTGGGTCATTGTCCTGTTGAAAAACAAATGATAGTCCCACTAAGCCCAAACCAGATGGGATGCTGTGGTAGCCATGTTGGTTAATTGTGCCTTGAATTCTAAATAAATCACAGACAGTGTCACCAGCAAAGCATCATCACACCACCTCCTCCATGCTTCACGGTGGGAACAACGCATGCGGAGATAATCCGTTCACCTACACTGTGTCTCACAAAGACGCAGCGGTTGGAACCAAAATCCTCCAATTTGGACTCCAGACCAAAGGGACCGATTTCCACCGGTCTAATGTCCATTGCTCGTGTTTCTTGGCCCAAGCAAGTCTCTTCTTATTGGTGTCCTTTAGTAGTGGTTTCTTTTGTAGCAATTTGACCATGAAGGCCTGATTCACGCAGTCTCCTCTGAACAGTTGATGTTGAGATGTGTCTGTTACTTGAACTATGTGAAGCACTTATTTGGGCTGCAATTTCTGAGGCTGGTAACTCTAATGAACTTATCCTCTGCAGCAGAGGTAACTCTGGGTCTTCCTTTCCTGTGGCGGTCCTCATGAGAGCCAGTTTCATCATAGTGCTTGATGGTTTTTGTGACTGCACTTGAAGAAACTTTCAAAGTTCTTCACATTTTCCGGATTGACTGATCTTTATGTCTTAAAGTAATGATGGACTGTTGTTTCTCTTTGATTATTTGAGCTGTTCTTGCCATAATATGGACTTGGTCTTTTACCAAATAGGGCTATCTTCTGTATACCACCACTACCTTGTCACAACACAACTGATTGGCTCAAACACATTAAGAAGGAAAGAAATTCCACAAATTAACTTTTAACAAGGCACACATGTTAATTGAAATGCATTCCAGGTGACTACCTCATGAATCTGGTTGAGAGAATGCCAATAGTGGGCAAAGCTGTCAAGGCAAAGGGTGGCTACTTTGAAGAATATATTTGGATTTGTTTAACACTTTTTTGGTTGCTACATGATTCCATATGTGTTATTTCATAGTTTTGATGTCTTCACTATTATTCTACAATGTAAAAAATAAAGAAAAACCCTGGAATGAGTAGGTGTGTCCAAACTTTTGACTGGTACTGTGTGTGTGTGTATATATATTTACGCACGCACACGAATACACACACACGCAAACAGACACACACGGCCTCATTGACGCGCGGCAGGGGTTCCCACTCTCCTCTCTTTGGGGGTTCCCCCTGAATAAAACAGCAGCCCTACTTCCATCAAGGGCTGCTTGTAGAGGGGTGAGGGAGGCTGGGGAGAAGCAAGGGGGAGAGAGGGAGCCCGCTATGAACCCAGCACTATTACCCATAATTACATTCACAGTTGAGCGTTAGTAAGCAGGACGGATGATGATGCTAATGTGAAGCAGGACTATCGCTGTGCCTGAGGCGAGAGGGAGAGGAGAGGCAGGGTAGAATTTTCACACTATCAGAAGTCAAGAAAAGGCAACTGCCATATTGCTGTCCAATCCTTCTCCTTTTTCCCTCTTTGCGTCCAATCATTTCACATGTGTCCAGGGGTTAGAGGTTGATTTGAAATGTATCACACATATTACTCTGTGGGCAGAGACTGGGGGTTCAGGGATTTTGCTGATGGGTTGATGATGATGATGATGTGTTTAGAAAGAAATCAATGCTTCGTTTTTCCCCCGCCTGTATGTGTGTCTCACCTCAGCTTTCCCCCATGGATCAGCCTAGAGTAGAAGATCCGAAGGGGGACCCACTCTAACACACACCGCTCTCTTTCTTGCTCTCTCGCTTGCTCCCCCCCCCCCCCCCCCCCCCCTTATCTCTCTAGCCCTGCGGTGTGAGGAGGTGCTACCGGTAGCAGAGGCCCTGGACGCCAGGGTTCTCTCCCCCGAGGAGCAGCGCCGTCTATCCGACCAGGAGGAGAACACTCTGAGAGAGCTGCGTCTGTTCCTCAGGGACGTCACCAGGCGCCTTGCCGTAGACAAACGCTTCAACATCTTCAGCAAACCTGTCGACATCGAGGAGGTGGGCAACAACACAGAGATGGCTTGTTGATGTAGATATGGTGGTATACCTCACTAGATATAGTAATAGAAAGATGGGAATGTGGCACCCTAGGAAGGTTGCATCATGAATTGAGTCCTTTCGCCCCTCTCCCTCTCACCTCTGTCTCTATTTGAGTGTTGCACTGATTGTAGTGAATTGACACTGCTGAACCAATTTTTCTGAACTGATTTTGATTTAAATGGAGTCAATAGCACCAGTTTAAGTTTACTGTCTCTCCTTTCCCTCCCTTTTAGGTGTCAGACTACCTGGAGGTGATCCGTCAGCCCATGGATCTGTCTACTGTCATGACAAAGATAGACACCCATAAATACCTGACGGCCAATGACTTCCTGGTGGACATAGACCTAATCTGCAGCAATGCCCTGGAGTACAACCCTGACAAGGACCCCTCAGGTACACATGGAGGGATTAAGGTGTTGGCTATGCCCCACTGGCACCCAATTCCCTTCATATTGCACTACTTTTGGCCAGGGCCCTATTCCCTATATAGTGCACTACTTTTGACTAGAGCCCTATATGCACTGGTCAGAAGTAGTGCACTATGAAGGGAATAGGGTGCCATTTGGGACTCAGATTGTATACTTATATAACTCGTCTGGTGCACCGCTCGGGACTAACAGAATGTAGACTACCGGTAATGTTACCAGCAACATAAAAGTCAGTAGTAACATTATAGTTATGAAGACATCCACATTTGGATACGTGACTAGCGTGTAGATCTAAGTATGTGTCTAGCTTGTAGATCCAATGATGTGCCTAGCTTGTAGATCTAAATACGTGACTAGTTTGTAGATCCAAATATGTGACTAGCTTGTAGATCCAAATATGTGACTAGCTTGTAGATCCAAATATGTGACTAGCTTGTAGATCCAAATATGTGACTAGCTTGTAGATCCAAATATGTGACTAGCTTGTAGATCCAAATATGTGACTAGCTTGTCAGTCTTGAGTGATTCAGTGTCAGTTTCTCTGACTTCCGTTAGTACGCTGCAGCTATGCAACATGGTGGCATGCAAGGTTTATCTAGTCAAGCCTAGCTCTGTCTTGTGTCCAACCAACCTAAACATTGTTTAGTCACAGTCACACAACAGCAATTATCAGTACTTTCTTCTACTGCCATTTCCATACATGTATGATGACACAGGAGAATTGAAATCCCAGCCATTCATCTGATACATTTGACTGTGATAAAACTAATTAGATGTAACAGATATGAGTCTTATTCATTATGATTCATGAAAGTGCTCCAAGGCAGTGACAGAACTTGGAATTGGTTTTCTTTCTTCACTCAACTTGAAATCATATGCACAGTGAGACAGAAACCCCTAAAAGCGCAAACCCCTAAAACTATCATCGCCCCCAGCTTAATATCTCTGCTGTTTCTCTCTGCAAAGCTGCATCTGCATGAAAAATGTATCATTTCTCAGTCGTCCATTTCAATCCAGTTTTATCTCAGCCTCTTCCACTGTTACCACCAGTGTAGCCAGATAAACGCAAAAAGCACTTCACACACACTACACTACATTACTACCCACACACCCTGAGAATAGCCTCACAGCAGGGGCCACGTGCACACAATCTCACACACACACAATCCCACACTTCCACGTGTTGAAGACTTGCGAAAAAAGTATTGTCAAATCAATTAGAATAGCATACATTATTTAAACACGCAGGCTGTGTTGGTGTTTAAATTAAAGTAAAGGTTGCATGTATGTATGGATTCAGGCTTATGAATAATTCCCAAGCCGTGGGAACGAATGTAGTGGGAAAAACACGCTAAGCACTGAAGTTCCCGCTGTGTCTGTCAGAATGGAATAACTATGCTGTGGCAATAATTGAAAGCCATAACGATGGAAGCCTGGAGACTTACGACCCGACAACCAATCAATTCAAATTAATCTCCCTGGAATACTGTAAATCTGTGCGCCCACTAAACCAAAGGAGGTTATTTCTTACTGCTTGCTACTCAGTTAAATGTAGATTTACAATCACGCACGCCCCCGCATGCGCACGCTCACACACACGCACGCTCACACACACGCACGCTCACACACACAGCAGGTAGCCTAGCGGTTAGAGTGTTGGGCCAGTAACCCAAAGGCATGCGGAGAGCCCGGGTCATTTGTTTAAATTCAGTGGCCACAAAGGATGCACTAAAGGAGGAAAATGCAATTAAGGACTTTAATAAAGAAGCCCTGTACTAGACTCCCTCCTCTAGTGTCCCTGGGAATAGAGTCCAGCCCAGTGCAATCACATTTGGTCATTTTTTGAATTTCCTCAGACTGTGGCTTTTTGAAACACGCCTAGATACACTACATCACCAAAGTATGGATTTAGCTATTTCAGCCACACCCGTTGCTGACAGGTTTATAAAATCGAGCACACAACCATGCAATCTCCATAGACAAACATTGGCAGTAGAAGTCAGTTCGTCACATTTCTGCCCTGCTAAATCGTCTGTCCTCGGTTGCAACACTCACTACCGAGTTCCAAACTTCCTCTTGAAGCAACGTCAGCACAATAACTGTTCGTCGGGCGCTTCATGAAATGGGTTTCCACGGCCGAGCAGTCGCACGTACACAAGCCTAAGTTCACCGTGCGCAATGCCAAGCGTCGGCTAGAGTGGTGTAAAGCTCGCCGCCATTGGACTCAGGAGCAGTGGAAACGCGTTCTCTTGAGTGATTAATCACGCTTCACCATCTGGCAGTCCCAACGGACGATTCTGGGTTTGGCAGATGCCAGGAGAACGCTACCTGCCCCAATGCATAGAGCCAACTGTAAAGTTTGGTGGTGGAGGAATAATGGTCTGGGGCTGTTTTTTCATGGTTCAGACAAGGCCCCTTAGTTCCAGTGAAGGGAAATCTTAACGCTACAGCATACAATGAAATTCTAGAATTCTGTGCTTCCAACTTTGAGGCAACAGTTTGGGAAAGGCCCATTCCTGTTTCAGCATGACAATGCCCCCATGCACAAACTGAGGTCCATACAGGAATGGTTTGTCGATCGGTGTGGAAGAACTTGACTGGCCTGCACAGAGCCCTGACCTCAACCCCATCAAACACCTTTTGGATTAATTGGATCGCCAACTGCAAGCCAGGCCTAATCGCCCAACATCCGTGCCCGACCTCACTAATGCTCTTGTGGCTGAATGGAAGCAAGTCCCCACAGCAATGTTCCAACATCTAGTGGAAAGCCTTCCCAGAAGAGTGGAGGCTGTTATAGCAGCAAAGGGGGGACCAACTCCATATTAATGCCCATGAGTTTGGAATGAGATGTTGGACTAGCAGGTGTCCACATACTTTTGGTCATGTAGTGCATGTTCATTCAACTAGAAATTATTATTTGCTTCACCAAAAAAGGCTGTGGAACTAATTACACACACAGTGCTTTCAACCTACATATTTGCCCCATTAAATTAACAAGCATCCATATTAGCAAACCTATTGAATTTCAAACTTCACATTTCTCTAGTATAAGCTACTTATTGTAATGACCGATATCATCAAAATGCCTGCGATCGGTGGCATCGGTTCAGCTAAACATAGGGTATGACAAAAACAGACAATGACCCCAGCCATTAATTATCCCTCAATATTAGGTTTAAAGGTCTGTGGAATGACCTATACAATGCCAACCACTACTCAACCTCATCATAAACTGACTCATTTACTTGTGTAACGGCACATACAGTGTAACGTGAAATAGATGCATAATACACGCTATTAAGTCACAACAAGGCCGACTTCTAATACCGACATCCATAGGTGCCGCATGAGTTTCAAGTTCGGGGAAGCAATTTTTTCACCATAAAATTTTACCTTTATAATAAAGGATTGCATGCCTATCATCGCATTTGCAGACTAATGTAAGATAGAGAATTATTTATTTCAGCTTTTATTTCTTTCATCACATTCCCAGTGGGTGGGTCAAAAGTTTACATACACTCAATTAGTATTTGGTAGCATTGCCTTTTAAATTGTTTAACTTAGGTCAAACATTTCAGGTAGCCTTTCACAAGCTTCCCACAATAAGTTGGGTGAATTTTGGCCCATTCCTCCTGACAGAGCTGGTGTAACTGAGTCAGGTTTGTAGGCCTCCTTGCTCGCACACGCCTTTTCAGTTCTGCCCACACATATTCTATAGAATTGAGGTCAGGGCTTTGTGATGGCCACTACAATACCTTGACTTTGTTGTCCTTAAGCCATTTTGCCACAACTTTGGAAGTATGCTTGGGGTCATTGTTCATTTGGAAGACCCATTTGCGACCAAGCTTTAACTTCCTGACTGATGTCTTGAGATGTTGCTTCAATATATCCACATAATTTTCCTTCCTCATGATGCCATCTATTTTGAGAAGTGCACCAGTCCCTCCTGCAGCAAAGCACCCCCACAGCATGATGCTGCCACCCCCGTGCTTCACGGTTGGGATGGTGTTCTTCGGCTTGCAAGCCACCCCCTTTTCCCTTCGAACATAATGATGGTCATTATGGCCAAACAGTTCTATTTTTGTTTCGTCAGACCAGAGGACATTTCTCCTAAATGTACGATCTTTGTCACCATTTGCAGTTGCAAACGGTTTTGGAGCAGTGGCTTCTTCCTTGATGAGCGGCCTTTCAGGTTATGTCGTTATAGGACTCGTTTTACTGTGGATATAGATACTTTTGTACCTGTTTCCTCCAGCATCTTCACAAGGTCCTTTGCTGTTGTTCTGGGATTGATTTGCATTGTTCACACCAAAGTATGTTAATCTCTAGGAGATAGAATGCGTCTCCTTCCTGAGCAGTATGACGGCTGCGTGGTCCCATGGTGTTTATACTTGCGTACTATTGTTTGTACAGATGAACGTGGTACCTTCAGGCGTTTGGAAATTGCTCCCAAGGATGAACCAGACTTGTGGAGGTCTACAATTTTTTTTCTGAGGTCTTGGCTGATTTCTTTTGATTTTCCCATGATGTCAAGCAAAGAGGCACTGAGTTTGAAGGTAGGCCTTGAAATGCATCCACAGGTACACCTCCAATTGACTCAAATGATGTCAATTATCCTATCAGAAGCTTCTAAAGCCATGACATCATTTTCTGGAATTTTCCTAGCTGTTTAAAGGCATAGTCAACTTAGTGTATGTAAACTTCTGACCCACTGGAATTGTGATACAGTGAATAATAAGTGAAATAATCTGTCTGTAAACAATTGTTGGAAAAATGACTTGTGTCATGCACAAAGTAGATTTGCCAAAACTATAGTTTGTTAACAAGAAATGTGTGGAGTGGTTGAAACACGAGTTTTAATGACTTCAACCTAAGTGTATGTGAACTTCCGACTTCAACTGTATCTCAATCACTGTTAGCAAAACACAGTTTTGAACACATAGTGACATATAGTAGGCCTAATCAGAGACATTTCTTCTCTTTTCTTTGCACAGGAAAAATGTGGTCTTTTATAAACACATTCCATGCAATTCTACTACACTTTATATGACTGGAGACATAAGCAACATCTTTTTTTTTTTATACAGCAAAAATGTGGAGCCTACTCTGCTGACACTGACAAACAGATCAGTAAAAACGACCTTGTCTTGAATGCAACCATCTAATCTAGGCTTATGAAAATGGAAGACAGACATTGTACAATATGACGTCCATCTAGCCTGGAGGAGGAAGTTATTGATCCCCCCCCAAAAAATCCAGTGGTACTGATCCAATGATAAAGGCGGTGAATATGTGCACTCACCGGTCCTCTGGTGCCAATAAGATAGGCTAAGGTTCACTCAATTGGGAGTTGAACATTTTGATAAATATAGACAGATTAGTATTTTCTTTGTCTTCTCTATTCAGCAAAAGCCATTTGCTTTCTAAACTATGTTTTTCCTACGATTTATATTCAGAAATATTGCGACAGGCCTAGGCCTATTTAACTGCTTTTCACGAACTGCTGCAACTCAACAATCAGCTATTTGGTAGGCTATTTGCCATGCGCGCTGACCAAATTGCACTCTTATAACAATCCACAGCAAAATAAATCTGTATAGGCACGAGTAATTATATAGCTAATTTTGCCAAATTCAATTTACTTTAGGGGAAGCTTATCTTCTCCTAGCCTATTGGTGCATAAAACAGTTGGCCACGAGGCTTACAAGGCTGAGTTCAAATGCCGACATCAAATTCAAAGCAATCGGTGCACTGCCTAAACGTCTGACCAGCAAAGCAAACTGTCTGGCTCCTCATGGTCCTAAAGCCAGCCACCCAATACGTTAACAGCCGTTGAATTTGAATCGGGATTAGAATGATGTTAGTCGACTTTTTTGTAGCCTACTTTTACATTTTTGGTATTGTGCTAGGGTATGGTGACTGCAACTCTATCATACCCATCTGATGCCCCTGCCTAGTATGGTCGGTGTCGATCATTTTTGGTTTATCGTCCCAGCTCTATTTCTTCTCTCCTCTACTTCCCCTCTTTCTGTTCTCATCTTTCTCCTCCTCTCCCTGTGTTTGCAGTAAAGGCTGTACTGTTTGCAGTAAAGGCTGTACTCCGCAGTCTTGCAGGAGTGTCTTGTTCCCTTGTGTTTCTCTCACTTCATTATGTTAGAAAACCAAATCTATCCGCTCTACGCTGTCAACCCTGCTTTCAAAAACAAACCCGCTCCACCTCTAGAGAAAAACACCCAAACATCCTCAAACTCACAGCGAACAAACATTGTCTACACAGCACCGGGGAGGTGGCAGAATGTCCTTGTCAGTTCTCGACAGAAGTGACAGGGTTCGATAATGGAACAGACCTCCACTCAACACTCACCCTGCACCCTGTCATCCCACACAGTACACAGTACCGCCACACACACACACGCATACACACTGCTGTAATTAGGCCTGTCTTCTAATTTGTGGTTAGAAGCTGTCAGATGGTGACCTCTGGCCCTCTGTCTGTACCTGTTGGCTGGGTGGCGTAATGAGAGCAGGACATCTGTTTACACACACACACACACACACACACACGGAAATACACGCGCACAAACACGAGCGCAGACACTCTACTTATCATCTTCTTTGCTGCTCACATTGTTATTTTCCCTCGGACAGCCGGCTTTTAGGATAAAAAGATTTGCTGATGTTGTTAGAGTGAAGAAGTGTCTGTGTGTGTGTGTTAGATATTCAATATGTGTGTCTTTGTGAGAAGGGAGGATGAGATTGACTGTATTCCTGAGGCTTGTCTCCTAACAGTCACCACCAAAGGCAGCTCTTTTGTCTTCATCCAAACAGTGAGAGAACAGTATAATCCCTTGCTCCCAGTGTTGGGGACCAGACGGCAACACAGCCAGCAGTTTGTGTTGTGTCCTGCAGAGGGTGTGCTGTGAGAGACGAGGCTAGTGAGGGGCAGAGGCAGGGAGACGACGGAGACCTTGTAGGCCCAAATTAATTATATGACTTCAGGGCGAAGTCATTGAAACTGTTGGTATAATGTTTCTACAATGCCAATACAGAATTGTGTGTGTGTGTGTGTGTGTGTTCATGTCAGTCTGTGTTCTCTCCCTCCAGATAAGATCATCCGCCACAGAGCATGTAGTCTAAAAGACACGGCCCACGCCATGATGACCTCGGAGCTCGACCCCGAGTTCCACCGCATTTGTGAGGACATCAAGGAGTCACGCAGGAAGAGGGGTGAGGAACACATAAACACACACAGACAGAGGGAGTGGTGTTATAGTCGAAGGCTCTGTACAATGTAGGAGCTCATGATGTTCCACTAGTGAACAGTATGTTCACTGCTCCAGGGTGACTGATGATTACATACAGTGGGGAAAAAATGTATTTAGTCAGCCACCAATTGTGCAAGTTCTCCCACTTAAAAAGATGAGAGGCCTGTAATTTTCATCATAGGTACACGTCAACTATGACAGACAAAATGAGAAGAAAAAAATCCAGAAAATCACATTGTAGGATTTTTTGATGAATTTATTTCCAAATTATGGTGGAAAATAAGTATTTGGGCAATAACAAAAGTTTCTCAATACTTTGTTATATACCATTTGTTGGCAATGACACAGGTCAAACGTTTTCTGTAAGTCTTCACAAGGTTTTCACACACTGTTGCTGGTATTTTGGCCCATTCCTCCATGCAGATCTCCTCTAGAGCAGTGATGTTTTGGGGCTGTCGCTGGGCAACACGGACTTTCAACTCCCTCCAAAGATTTTCTATGGGGTTGAGATCTGGAGACTGGCTAGGCCACTCCAGGACCTTGAAATGCTTCTTACGAAGCCACTCCTTCGTTGCCCGGGCGGTGTGTTTGGGATCATTGTCATGCTGAAAGACCCAGCCACGTTTCATCTTCAATGCCCTTGCTGATGGAAGGAGGTTTTCACTCAAAATCTCACGATACATGGCCCCATTCATTCTTTCCTTTACACGGATCAGTCGTCCTGGTCCCTTTGCAGAAAAACAGCCCCAAAGCATGATGTTTCCACCCCCATGCTTCACAGTAGGTATGGTGTTCTTTGGATGCAACTCAGCATTCTTTGTCCTCCAAACACGACGAGTTGAGTTTTTACCAAAAAGTTCTATTTTGGTTTCATCTGACCATATGACATTCTCCCAATCCTCTTCTGGATCATCCAAATGCACTCTAGCAAACTTCAGATGGGCCTGGACATGGCTGGCACTGCTTGGTTTGAGTCCCTGGCAGCGTAGTGTGTTACTGATGGTTGGCTTTGTTACTTTGGTCCCAGCTCTCTGCAGGTCATTCACTAGGTCCCCCCCGTGTGGTTCTGGGATTTTTGCTCACCGTTCTTGTGATCATTTTGACCCCACGGGGTGAGATCTTGCGTGGAGCCCCAGATCGAGGGAGATTATCAGTGGTCTTGTATGTCTTCCATTTCCTAATAATTGCTCCAACATTTGATTTCTTCAAACCAAGCTGCTTACCTATTGCAGATTCAGTCTTCCCAGCCTGGTGCAGGTCTACAATTTTGTTTCTGGTGTCCTTTGACAGCTCTTTGGTCTTGGCCATAGTGGAGTTTGGAGTGTGACTGTTTGAGGTTGTGGACAGGTGTATTTTATACTGATAACAAGTTCAAACAGGTGCCATTAATACAGGTAACGAGTGGAGGACAGAGGAGCCTCTTAAAGAAGAAGTTACAGGTCTGTGAGAGCCAGAAATCTTGCTTGTTTGTAGGTGACCAAATACTTATTTTCCACCATAATTTGCAAATAAATTCATTAAAAATCCTAATATGATTTTCTGGAGAAGAAAAATCTCAATTTGTCTGTCATAGTTGACGTGTCAGGCCTCTCATCTTTTTAAGTGAGAGAACATGCACAATTGGTGGCTGACTAAATACTTTTTTCCCCACTGTAACTAGTCTAATGGGATCCAATGATTTATTCATTTGTAAACTCGTAAAGTCACAGAGAGAGACGGTCATGCACAAACAAACTAATTAGTGTACATGTACAAGGAGGATATAGGGATATTATTAGTAGTCATAGGTACTTGGTTATACAACATGTACATATGCTGCTTGATTCTACACACACACTCACATGCAATCGCACACAACCACATGCAATCACACACACACATAATCACACATACACACTAGGGGTGGGCGATATGAACAAAAAATTCATATCACTATATTTTCCACTGTCCGGACGATAACTATATAATATCACGATATACTGTAAAAAATAAAAAAAAAAAAAAAAGTTAATAAATGACTAAATATTGCTTTTAACCTTTTAGAAACAGAAAGGGGGCATTGCACATTTTTTTAAATTAGTATTTGTTTTACTTCTGTGGTAAACCTGTGCAAACATGAAACATAAAGGTATATGAGTTAAATAAATATGCAGTAACATTTTATAAAAATATATTTAAAGTACTCAGGATGTAAACTTTTTCCTGCCAAATATAAGAAGTGCAGTCTTTTTTCATATTACACCGGTCATTATGAATTCAAGTTGTAAACCTTTTCAAATTAACTTCATGCATTAACCAGACAGTCTGTATGTTTCTCAGTTCAGCATGTAACAATTCAACAATTCTGCCTCCCTCTTCACAAGTTCCGTGCCAGGAACACCAGCCTATTGGCTTGGAAGTTTCCCTGTGGCATGTGACCACATTGCCCCCAGTGCTAAATGCTCTCTCAGAGGGCAAACTTGTGGCAGGGATGCATAAGTATTTATTTGTCAGACAACTCACTTGTGGGAAGTTGGATGCGTGAACTCGCCACCATTCCAAAGGATCAGCCTCACTGTCTGCTGCCATCATCAGAGTGTAGCTGTCCAGCTCTTGCTCAATGACATGTCTCTGGGTTCTTAAGGCAGGTGCACTACTTGTTTTCTTAAAGAAGCTCCCAAGGCTCTTCTTGGACTTCTTTGCTGATTTCTCTCTCTCACTCTGGTCCTCTTCAAAAGAGAAGTCTCCCACGGCTGTGTTCCCTACCAGGAGGGCTTCTGTCTCGGAGGAAGCTCTCACCTTCACCTCCACCAGATTCTCAGTGGTCATGTAGGTGGTCTTGAACCTTGGGTCCAGAAAGGTAGCCATGGTGAGCAGCTCATCTGTTTCAGGGTCTGTGTATTTGTCATTCAGGGAATTGAGGACCCTCATCTTAATCTCTCCGTTCAGTTTGGCTTCGCCCTCATTTGATTTCAGAACCTCTGTCTTGAACAAAATGGAGGACCGGCTTCAGATAGGACACACTCACGTATGTCTCTCCTGACAGGGCATCTGTGAAATCCTGGAGGGGCTTAAGGGCTGCCGTGATAGATTCAAAGACCTCAATGTCTTGCCAGGAGGGTGCAAGGTGCCGTGTTTTTTGCCTGCTGCCAGGACTTGTGTGATGGCCTTTTCCTGCTCCAGGACTCTTTCCATCATCTGCAGTCGAGATCCCCACCTTGTCGGGGATTCCGTGATGAGCTTGTGGAGGGGTAGGCTCAGTTTATCCTGTGCACTTGTCAGGGCCTTCTGCTTCTTCCAACTATAGGAAAATGTGCTGACCACTTTCTTGCACACTCCTGTGGCCTGGGAAACCCGAGGTTCGTTTTGGACACTCCTCTCTGCAAAATAAAAAGGTGAAAAATAATTACATATGAATCACAATTATTCAATATAAATAACATAGCATCTGCTGTAATTACAATATTTTACAGCATGGACACGGGACATATATAGATTTACAAACAACTGTTGTGATTAAGACAGCTATGTTGCTTTAGAAAACGGGATAATTTATTGAGTAGGCTATTTATTATTGAAAGAGAGAGGATCGATTAATATATTGAAACCATAGGCTAATGTATCAATTATAAATAAAAGCAATGTAATCCATGTAATGTTTGGATATTGCACACATTTACAAATGACAAATATTCTAGATTTGCATAGCTGTATATATCTGGCTTAACGTATAAGAAGGATCAGGCAGTGTAGTCAGCTCTAACTTTAAACAGAGGAGATAAGGAATACAATAGTTATTCTGCATTTTATGTTGTTTTTAAGTGACATTATTTTTCTACCTAGCTCTGTGTTTTGGACGTTGAAACTTACCAATAGCAATTGTAGCCTGTGTCCGAAACACCCTAGTCTTGTCTATTTGTTCAGCTCCAATGCTTTGACCATGTTCGATCCGCTGTCGGTAGTCATACATACTTGACGCGACTCTTTCAAGCCCCAGGATGAAAGTGCCTCCCTTAGCCGAGCTACAATTATTTCTCTGGTGTGGTCATCTGGGAAATAAGAGGTCTGAAGGCATTTGCTTTGCAGCTTCCAGTTGTCGTCAATGTAATGAATCGTGAGGCTAATGTATGGCTCTGTGGTCCGGCTTGACCATAAGTCGGTAGTGGTAGAGAAGAATACAGCGTTACGGATTTCGTTGGCAACTCTGTCCCGACATTCTGTCTCACTGCATCTCAGTGCTTGAGGCGTCACTACAGACCCCCTGGTTCGATTCCAGGCTGTATTACAACCGGCCGTGATTGGGAGTCCCATAGGGCGGCACACAATTGGCCCAGCGGCGTCCGGGTTTGGCCGGTGTAGGCCGTCATTGTAAATAAGAATTTGTTCTTAACTGACTTGCCTAGTTAAATAAAGGTTAAATAAAAAAATACAATAAAGAGTTCTGAAGTATTTACGGCTCGGGATCTCGTATCTTGGGTCTAGAGTTCGAATAAAATTTCTGAAACCGTCTTTCTCCACAGTTTGAATTGGTTCCATGTCTTCTGCTATGTGATACGTAATTGCACTCGTTATCTCATTCCACTTCTTGCTCTTGTCATAGGGAGTACCACTAACGAATGATGCCTTGAGGGACAGCTGAGTGCGGGTCTGGCTTGAAGATGTCTTGTGACTTGCTCCGCTGCTCCGGGAGTTTGTTGCACGCATTCTGGTAGATTCTTCTTATTCGCGCACATGCAGGGTTTTCAGGTGGTCAAAATGATTGCTGGTGTTTCCACCTTTGGCTAGCACAATGCGTCGACAACTTACACAGTACTGTTTATTGGTCGAGGTCGGATATCTTAAAGCCAAACCAGTTCCAAACGACAGAGGAGGCCCCCTTTTTTCCAACCAATTCTTTGTCGTCCTGCAAATCAACCTCAATAGCGTTATTGATTTTCGGACACTTTTGCTAACGAAAGTAGTTTACCTCACTAAATGTTCGCTTACTCTGCAGTTGCGCATGCTTGTTTGTTGACTTTGATTGGCAGGCAGATTGCGTCTAACCTCCATGC